AAAAATTTGGCCTCAAATAGGAAAAGGAGACAAAACCTCAACTTCTTTTTAATTAAACGACCAGTCGATAAGTAATTGAAAACTAATGTTTTACATTATATTTTGATAAATTATGGGAAAATTTTAGATATATAAATTTTTTACTTACCAATAATTTTCCATCCTGTGACAAAGAGCATCTGAAGCACAAACAGTGCCAGATTGGGGGGCCTCATTTTTGTCTTTTTTCTATGTTTATATTTTACATTAATTATTTGCACTATCACTAACACTATTAAATAGTTTTAAAATTGTTTTCAAATTAATTATAAGTTATTTAAACACACAACCACTTTGTTTTTGAAGCTCCTAATCATATTCTAGAATAACAATTTAATAAATTAAATTTTATATTAGAAGTTAGTGTTACTATGTTAGTCCGCGATGAACTCATAAACTACTGAACCGATTTTAATTTATTTTTTTTTGTTCCGACGTGTTTATTTATATCCGGAGTAGGTTTTAGGCAATATTATAAATCTCAGTTTATATTCGAAACATTAAAATTTTAGAAATTTCCCATGAATGTATGAAATGATAAGTGTGAAAGTATATAATTATTTCTTGAAATATTAACGAACATAACAGAAATATTTGCTATCTTTTAATATTCTGTAGTGATTTTTCTTATTTACATTTAATACTAAACGTATCAAATGTCATCACGATATAGAGATCGGTTATTATTATTTTTTAATTATTTTAACTGAGAGCGATGTGCATTAAATTATTGGAAAATATTAATCTCGTGCAAATCACCATAATATTTTCTCTTTATGAAGAAAAAACAACAAATATCACAAATTTCTAATTCTTCTGCACGAAGAAACAAGACTGTAACATTATATATATATGTATATATATATATATATATATATATATATATATATATATATTTGTTTAAATTTACAATTTGCTATAAATTGTGCAAAATTATTTTATGTGTCACGATCGAAAGTATGTGTCATCCTTAGAAGTAAAATATGTCGTTTGGTAGATAAAATATACGAGTTATTTCAACTAACATAAAAGCCAATTCAATGAACAAGAGTCATATTTGTAAAAAAAATCTTATATCTATTTAAAAAAAAAAATCAAAATTAAGTATAACCGACAACCATATTGAGCCTAGAAAAGTGTGAATTTTAACTATTTTTAATTCTAGAGTAAATTATTGTTACATATATCTGTTTTTTTTTTAAATATAGTTTTTAATCAAGCTTTCTGCTTGTTGAGGTATGATTATTGTGTATTTAGTCTACTGGTGATTTGAGTCAAATTTGGAACCGAAACGTTTGGATGTCTCATTCATTTTTTTATTAACTAATGGATGCCTGTTAAAAAAAACTTTTCTGTTTAATACTATGTATAAATCTTTTAACATCTGAAATATTTCAGCTGGTGAAAGGCATATAATTATAAACAAAAATGTCTTCTTAAAAGAAGCTTCAATAATAGAAACAGAATGAATTGTTTCTGAAAAAAAAATTCAATTGGCTTCCATCCGTTTCAAGACCCAATTTGACTCTTCTTCAGTGAGATAATTAAATTATATATATATTACATGAATAATATGTTTATTTTTTTAATTATTAATCCAATAAATAGAAAACAATCAGTTATTTGCAGGCGACATTTCAGAACTAGATACTTTCTATCATCAGATTTTTCTGCCAACAATATTTTTTTTATGAAATAACAATATTGATGATAATGGTTATAGAATAATAAAAAACTTATGAAAGTGGTAATACATTAGAAATTGAAAATCAAAAATATATAGATGTTAAAAGATAAAGAAAATAGATAAATCTTCTTGGTAAATAATTATTACTTACCAATTTTTACTAATTTTTTTCATACTATTCAAGAAAATGTACATAATCCACTATTTCATAAGTTTTTTAAAATTATAACCGACAACCACGTTGAGCCGAGAAATGTGTGAATTGTGACTATTTTTAAAATTCTGTATTTATCATAACTATTGTGAATTAGGGCGATTTGTGGTAGAAGAGTGAAAATTTAAGTCTGTATATGTTTTTTGAATTCTAATTAAAAAATAAAATAAAATTCATTGGTCCTAAAAATAAAATATTAGACGTTAGTCGATTCTCAGTCAAACTGAATGTGATTATAAAATTTCATACAAATCGGTCAGGCTGCTTTGGAAGGAAAGGAAGAGTATTGCGACATTTTCGAATTTCCTTGCTCCCAAGGGCTCCAATGGTTCCAAATTGATAAAAAAAACTGTTCTCTGAATGTTTCAGCTCTTAATATTAACTTTTAGATAGTGCAAAATTCGAGCAAACTTCGTATGGAAATAGCATGGGAAAAATTTTGAAAATTAAAAAATTCGTGTCATTTTTATTGAAAATTCGACGCTCTGCGAAATTTTTGAAATTTTTTTTATGCTATTTCCATACAAAACTTTGATTGAATTTCGCTCTATCTAAACGGTAATATTAAGAGCTAAAACTTTCAGAGAATTGTTTTTTATCAATTTGGAACCATTTGAACCCACGGGACAAGGAAATTTGAAAATGTCCATATTAAGGACCACCCTAATATATATTATATTATATATTAGGGTGGTCCTTAATGTGGATGTTTTTAAATGCTTTCTAATTGGTTAAAAAAAATCTGAAAGTTTTAGCTCTTAATATTAACTTTAGGGTAGTCCGCTCTCCAACCAAAGTTTATTGGTTGTTCTTTCTAATATTTTAAAATATTTATTTTATAAAATATATAAATTTTTTGTTGTGATTTTTTTACTTATGATCAAATTTTAATCATGTTATTTTTATAAGAAACTTTGGTTGAAGTGCAGACTATCTTAAAGTTAATATTAAGAGCTAAAACTTTGAGAGATTTTTTTATCATTTTGGAAGCATTTGGGGAACATTAAACTGAAAATATCCTTATTACGGACTACCCTAATATATATATATATATATATATATATATATATATACATATTTGTGTGTGTATTTATATGTGCATACGAATTATTACAACAATTTGAGTCACTCTACTTTTATTATTAGTAACACCAACTCACTTTGACATAAATTTGAAATCGTAACACTTTTCAGAAACGAAAATTGCGATCATTTCATCCGAAAAAATTGTCTTCACCAGATTTTGCACAGCAACAAAAAAAAGATTGCACTTGTTTTTAATAAAACTATGTCATTGCAATGAATGCACACTTATCTATTTATTAACACACCACTAATAGTTATCCAATCACGAAAATAGTATTTGATATTTTTTTATTGTTTCATCTTGTTTGTGTTGAAATGTTATTTAGCACAGATGCCATTGCTCTTGTTCCAAGACATCGGTTTGCCTATGTGTCTTGTTGGAATACGAGAGATATTCTTCCGAGAGTTATTTCGGCTTGGCGGGGGGGCCCGAGAACAGGTTTCTTACCTGTCTCCTGTCTGCCTGTCTCATGATCAGAGCCACGAGAGGTGAGAGAGGCTCTATTGTGGATGAGGAGAGGCGAGAGGCCGACCGCGGGGGGACAATTACTAGAGAGGCGCTCTTAAGGAATAGATGGTACGATCCTCAGATAAGTGAGATAATCGCATTATGGGGATTTTACGCAAGAATTTTACAATAGGGTTCAAGTGGCTAGAATAATTGGCCAAAAATTGAAATGGATTGGAAAACAAATTGGGAATTTGCGGTTGCAGGGCCGTATTTGAATGATTCGACGTACTGTATTCTTAAATGCAACACTTTATAAAATATTTAATTTGATTTATAAAATCTGAACATTTATTCATATAACTAAAATTATTTTATTACAAGACTTTATAGTATAACTTAGAACTAGGCTTCTATTTATACAAAGACGTCTCCTTTGGCGCAAATTTTTAATTTGTTTATTAATCTAATTTAATTTTTAATTAAAAAAAAAAACATATGGTTTCAACACATTATATTTTATGTATTTATATATATATATATATATATATATATATTATATATATATATATATATAAAATTTATTAATATTCAACCTATTTTTTTATTCCAGATGTGTGTACTTCAGAAATAACAAGATCACAAGATATATTGAATAACCCAATGCAATTCTAATAAGAAACCTGTCTTTTTGAATATTAAAAATTGAAAAAAGGAAAACATCTAATTTGAGAGGAAATAGTCCAAAATCAGATGCATAAACTTATAATGAACATGTAGTTTCAGTTTCATAGAAATAATTAGTGTTTTTTGAAACAAAGGTACATAAATGGTAATTATCTTTTAATTATATATCTTAAAAGTCTGAATAAAGTATATAGTATAAATGACAATATATTTGCTGTAAAACTACTTTATTAAATTATTTTAATCTTTACAAATTAACTTCAGTAATAGCATAAGATAAAAATCCATTGCAGCAATAATTGTACATATCTTATGTTTTTACTTGTGTTAGCATAAGAAGAAGCACTACTTATCTACTACTTCTATACTTTGTATCAAATTGAAACTTAGAATAACATTACAAAGTAAGGAGTGGAATACTAATTTAAAAGTGCAATATTTCAAATGAGAATTATAATTATATTCAATGGAAATCTTGCACTTTGCAACATAAAATCCTTATTTTGTAATGTGATTGTAAGTTCCATGAATTTTATCCTTTGTAAGATGCGGCATATAGTGGCATATAGTTCGTTACATTATGATTTGAAAAAGGCGCCTTTTTTCTTAGCAACTCAGATTGGACAGATAATCGTATCGCGTGAAGGTACCACCATAGATAAACAAGTATGGGTACCACCATGTTTATTCTTTTTTTACTAGTGGTATTTCTAAATATAGAATCGTGAAGTTGGTCGTGCGCTTCATTTTGCCAAACAATAATTTCAGTGGGAAATTTGAAAATGAATTGTTATTATCTTTTATAAATTCGTATACGACAAAATTATCCGCGATATATTAACCTGTAATTATAAAATCAAAAGGCAGCTTTAATTATTATATTAACAATGCATTGTTTGCTTTAATTATTTGAAATTAGTACATAAAAGCGTATGTCAAAATGCAAAATGTCAGATATCATGTATGCCGAACTTGTAACGTTGCACAATATTTTGTTTACGATAATATTTTCCGTATATACTTTAATAATATGCCATATCGTAAAAAATATGAGTTGGAAGCGATCAAGGTATAAATGATCAAATTACAAGGAGTGAAAAGTACACAGTAAAAAGCTTAAAAATAAACGAGTGTGTGACAGATTTTAATTTAATGATTTTAAAATTATTCCCGTCATATTACAAACCAATTTTGGTAATTTTTTTACAGGAGAATGTCGACAAAAAGTTCTGACATAAAGACTAGTTATTCTGCGGCTCTTCTAAATGTGGCAGTAGCCGGTTCTTCACTTTGGGCTCTGAGAATAGTCGATCCAGAAGAGTTGTATTTTGCACTGACAGCTTTTGGAATTGTATTGGCTAATTCTTTATGTGGAATTTTTAGATATGGTGAGCTATTTTATAACATATATTTTGTTAAATGATACATTGTCATGATAATTTAATTCAGGTCATCCGGAGTTTATGGATAACTTTAAAAAAGTTCATGCAGCATCTGTGTTTGTAATGGACACATTTCCTGTTCCATTAATTGTAACAGAGCTGTACTTGCAAGAAGGTTTTAGGCCAGAGCTATGTTATTTGCATTTATTAAGTGCTTTTATACCAACAATAGCTTATACAGTAGGAATGGAGGACGATGATGACAAAATACAAGATCTGGTTATTGTTGGTAATCTGGCATCGTTGACTCATTTATCATATATAACTGATAACCATTGGGGTACAGCACTTGGTGTTTCATGTATATTGAATTATTTTGGATGTTGTGTTTTCAGCGGAAGATCTGTACCTTATCTGCAAATGTATTACATTGGATACTGCTTTTTTAACTATTTTGCAATAAGAGCCCTTTTTGAATAAGTGTGATTTTTGAAATTCTCTAAGACTCGTAATATCTATTTTCTACCTATAGCTTTAAAAGTGTGTGTAATTTTTGTGCAAATTTGTTTTGGTTTGATATAATATCACATGTTAAACAATTTTTTATAATACAATATTATGTTATTTATTTATAAAATACTTTTAAGTACAAAAACGTGTTTGTTATAATTTGTTTTTTTCCTATTAACTGCATAAAGATAAACATTTCACACTCAAATAATTGAAGGCAACTAATCCAAGTAAAAAAATTTGTCTGTCCTCATTTGGGCCAAAAATAAGCTCAAACATTTTAAAATTAATTGCTGAAAATGCTCCTAAATATGCTGGAAGTATTTCATCAGAAAAATATCTGCAAGATAAAAATGCAAAAAATTATGTATGTTTAAATTATGGATTACACTTTTAGTTAATCACTTACGCCATGTAACACATAGATAAAGCATTGAAAGCTAGAAAACAATCATTCATCAATTTATTTTGAGGCTCCCGGCAAGCGTACACAATTAAAGGGGCTGCGCCACAGGCCAACTGGTGCCAATACATATCCTTATATCCTGTAAAGTCGGACAATTGAGTCAATGAATATTTCATTTAGGCAAAATCTACAAAAACTGCATGAACAAAACAAGTTATTAGTTTACCTAATGCATGCATATGGAATAATTCACTTGCAACAATTGGAACACTACAATGCCTAATAAAGAAGTCCGTTCTAGGTGATATTAATTCTTTTAAGCTTGATTCTTCATGAACTAAATATTATATTGATTATATATATTTATAACAATTCAATTCCAATTTTGTAAATATGTTTTTTATCTATTGAATGATATATTTTACCATAATTATAAATTCCAACCATTGCATGCAAAGCCATTATTTTCAAAGTAAAAGCGTACAATTTATATTTAGAATCTAGATTGTCCATTGCCCACACTGATGATATGCCCAATGCACAATTCATTAGGAAACTGGTAGTACCTGGAATTTGATTGTTATCTGAATGTTAGTTTTACATTTAGAGTTGTTAAGTACCTTCTGGAATATGATCCGACATTGTGGAAGAATTGTGTAGTTTTATAACTGTATATCAAGGGTAAGAAATCCTGTTTGTTTATATTTTTGTATATGCTTAATTTTTTTAATTTTGGAGTTTTGTATATATTGAGAATTTTGCATTACATTTTTCATTTTTTGTTTTTGCGTTTGGAGTTTATATCTGTCTAAATTTTACAAAAATATAGCATTAATGGATTCCTTTGACAATATTTTTGCAGAATAATCAAAATTCTAATTGAGTCATTACTTATAAAGCAAATAATTAATCGGTTTTTGATTTTCAAGAAATGTATTTTGATCATAAATTTTTGAAACTAATAATAATTCATAAATAATTATATACACAGTGAGAAAAACAGTTGTCATCACTGCTGTGTTAAACCATTATGCTAAAAAGTTATGTTTTAATGTTAATTTCATTAAAAAAAAAAATCTTAATCTTGCAATCTAGTAGGAATATTTGCGGCAGTTAATTTGACCCTTGCACAATGTTCCTAATGCAGTGCGAAGTTTGCTGCATATATCTTCAGAACTGTGTACTTCAAAATCAAAATATTTTAAGTTACAGATGTCACTTTGACATTTGCAAGAAGTCTCTTTCTCTCGCTGAGTGAAATTCTTTTATTTACGATAAATAATGTTTGTTTATGATAAATATAATAATAATGTCTTATCGACAATTCTATTGCCGCTCTCTTGACGATGAATCACTCAAGTAACGAATATGGCTCTGACAGACTTCTTGCAGAATACAGACATTTGTTATTGAATTTAAAAACAACTGCAGAAGCTCTGTTTCTTTCACAAGCTTGCAATGTCTGGAATGTTTATGGTGGTTTAAACAGACTGCACGATGTTATTGAGAATATATTCCAACATGGGACTAAAGTTTATAAACCCGATGTATGAAGTGATCATAAATGTCCAAGTATTGCAGTACAACATAATCCATTGCTTGTATTTTCTAGGGCACTCCTGATTCATGGTTATTCATAGAAGGCTTGAACTGGATAAATCCTTCTTTAGCTTCAAATGATACAGAAATCAATTCAACAATTCCTTATTCCAGAATTAAAAATGACAAAGCATTGATTTGGATTTATAACAATTTAGAGAATCACACACTTTCACAGAAATTATGTTGGCTAATATCAGATAAAGAACATTTAGCATCCTGTTTTGAGAAAACTGCTTATCTTTGCCAAGAGAGCTATTCAGAAGCCACATTAATATGTCTGAGGGCTATCGAACAAAACCAGCCCTCCATAATAACAGATATAGATCCCTATTTGTTTTTAGATCGAGCAAATGTGAAGCAGTTACACAAGTTGCATCGCAGGTGTTCCAGTTACCCAGAATATGCAAACCATTTGAGGTTGGAAGTCAAGAAAGAGACAATTGTAGAAGATTTGGAGCCCAAAATGGGGGTAAATGAGGAACTTTATAGTAATGCAGTAGTCAGGGAACAGAATAGAGAAAAAACTATTAAACAACACAAAAAAAATCTTGATTTTGACATAAAGTCTTGGTCAAATTTTCCCATTGATAACTATCATGATGAGTTTGTTAAAAAACATAAAAGTAACTCTCTCAATGGAGATGAATCAGCTTCTACACATGTTCCTGAAAATAATATAGCGTTATTACATTGCGAAGACATTAAAATATATACTCACAATAATATTAATGATATGAATAGCAATGATGTGGATGAAACTGCTATTGAACCAGATTTAAGTACTCCCACAGATGTTATATTTTTGGAATCGGATTCAAACACCTTTGTAGAGGACAAAAGCAATAGTAGTTGCATGAGTTTGGATATGTGGCACCAACAAAACTTAATTCAATCTATGTCTGAACCCAATTTCACTAGGGCTCCTCAATTATCAAGTTCTGATGTATTTGAACAAAGGTCTGATTCATCTTCCGTCAACACAACTCAACCTGTTGATTTAAAAAGAAAATTCTCATTTTTTTCCTGGGATACCAGTTCTACAAACACACACAGCTTACCAAAGAGCGCATCTAAATTATCACAGCTTTCTAATTCAGCACCAGGATTTTTATTCACTCCAATGTCTGGAGAAGTTATAAAAGATAAAGGTAAAATGATGACATTTATTGAAGATGGGGGCTCCAGTATTCCACCTATGGCAAGTGGATTCTTTCCAAAACCTCAGCCTGGTGAGAGTTTGCTAAGTTTTTTAAGGTCTTCAAAAAATATCCGAACAAATGCTGAATTAGATAGAGAAAATGCTCATTTTAGTTTCTCAGAGGCGATGATTGCAGCTGTTGAACAATTGAAGTATAACAGATTTCAGGTATTAATAAGAGTATAATTGATTAATGTTTCAATATTATATTTGCTTTAATAATGTAGAAACATTATGAGGAGGTTATTGAGAGTGATGAAGAAATAAATGATTTAAAACAAAGGATAAGAATACGCAGAAGACAGAGGGAGCATGAGAAAGCTAAGAAAACCTGGGACTCGCCTTCAATGAGTGATGCTAAAACAGATGGTAGATATTACATTTCTGATATTTCATGAAATATGAATAAAAAGTTAATCAAAATGTATTTTTTGCAGCCATAAACGGAAGCGCCAGTCCAATGTTTGCTTCTGACAGTTGGGAATCTGATGTTTCTAATAGTTTAGATTTAGATGTTGAGACTTGTCCAAAGAAAATAAATGATTTTGAGGTGACCTGACTTTCATTGCTATCATTGCTTTATTCTTATTATTATTTATGTCCTAATTGTAAATTTTAGAATATTTCTGCATCTTTGGAATCTCTTTATAGCACATCTGAAATATTCGATGGCATGTTAAATCGTAAGACTTTAGGAATTAATTCAAAAAAAGATGAGAATTTGCTGTCTGCAGAATGTGTAGCATTAAGCTTGATTAGTAGATTTAATGAAGAACAACTTCCTAAAGCGTCTGATCTTATATGGTAAGTTTCAATAAGTAATATTTTGGCTTTAATATTTTAAGCGGTTCATATTTTAGGTTAGTGTCAGAGGAAGATGTCCCACAAAGTCTGCTCCCTCTTCCTGACAATTGGTCTATGAGCCCCAGTGACAAAGATTCTAGTTTTAACATCAGCAATGATAGTTTTATTTGTGGAAATACAAATTTGAATAAGAGTGCCTTAGGTGGTGCCACACCTTTGAGGGGCACTGAGGATTGGGCTCCGCCTAGAGCCCAAGTTATTTTCACACCTCATCCGAAACCTCAGTAAGTAAAATGATTATATTATTTCTTTTCAAATTAATTAGATATTATTTTCTATTTTTCTAGATGTAAAAAGCTTCTAGCAAAACAAAATTATAGATGTGCAGGGTGCTCAATGCATGTAGCTCCTCGTTATGGACACAAATTTAGATATTGTGAATATTTAGGTAAATTATTTTGTACAGGCTGCCATAGCGAAAGATTAGCTACAATACCAGGACGAGTTTTATCTAAGTGGGATTTTAAAAGGTACATATTGTAGAAATGTAATTCATTATTATAAATATATGTTTATTAATGTGCACATAATTTTAGATATCAAGTATCTAATTTTTCTTATCGTTTACTGGAACGTATGTGGAATGATCCTTTATTTAGAGTTGATTTACTGGCTCCAGGATTGTATACAAAGAGCAAAGCTCTATTTAGATGTAAAATGGCTCGCATAAAATTATCAGCTGCTAAAGAATTCATCATTACTTGCAGATTTGCACCTGAGTAAGACTTTACTCGCAAATTTAACTTAACAATGTTTTAAAATTCACTTTTCATTTGTTTTCAGTCTGCATAAACAAATAATAAACGAACAATCTCACATTTACAATGAAACTGATGTGTGGTCAATGAATGATTTTATTCAAGTGAAAAATGGTGACTTGTTAATACGTTTAAATGAGCTTGTTAAAAATAGTGATATACATGTAACTCAATGTGAGGTCAGTATAATTATAAAACAATAACAATTGTTTTGTCATAATATTTATCTAAATAATATCTTATTATAGTTGTGTACTGCACGAGGCTTTGTTTGTGAATTTTGTTGCAAGGAAACTATTTTTCCTTGGCAGAGTAATGTAACTAGATGTGAGATTTGCGGTTCTTGCTATCACTCAGTTTGCTGGAATAAAATAATGACTTGTTCAAAATGTATACGAATTGGTAAACGTAAAGCTGATAAGGCAGCTCCTTGAATAAATCTACCAAGTCTAATAATATATAACAATAATAATATATTGTTTATCACGGTGCAATATTAATAATATTTGAATATAGAAAATAATAATATTTGAAACTTATGTGTATGGGTTATGTATGTGTATAATAACAAAGATTGATATTAATATAATTTTTTTGTATAGAAAGTTTATGAAATATTTTAATATATATTGAAATGTATAAATGTGTTTGTTTTGTTCTAAAACCCTGTATTTAATAAGGATTCGAAAGAAAATGGTTGCAGTCGTCGATGCCCCCGAAACTCCATTTTGAATTGATCTGTCACTTTTCAGCATTGTTAACGCTAATAAATGTCAGTTCGGCAAATCAAGTCTATAACCTCAATTGTATGTCCAAATGTAGATAAATAAATATTGTTGTTTATAATTTGAATTAATCACTGTTATAATGAAAATATTAGATAAATTGCGTCAACTTGACGCTTATCCAAAAACTTTAGAAGATTTCAGTATTAAGACACCTGGTGGTGCTGCAGGTTTGTTTGAAAAATACATTTATATGACACATCTGAAAATTTGAAACTGTTAACTTAATTTAAAAATCAAACTAAATGACTACAAGAATATCTATTTCTAAATTATGAATATATAATATTGATGTATTACAGTTAATATAATATTGTTTAAATTTGTTTCAGTGACCATCGTTAGCTTTATTATTATTGCACTCCTATTTTTATCTGAATTGCATACCTATTTATCACAAAACATATCGGAAGAACTATTTGTTGACACCACTCGGGGTCCTAAACTGAAAATTAATCTGGATATTGTGGTACCTCAGATTCACTGTGATTGTAAGTACATAATAATAATTGTCATATTAAAAAATAATTTATTAATTTATGTATTTGTTTGTCTTTAGATTTGTCATTAGATGCTATGGATACCTCCGGAGAGCAACATTTGCACATAGATCATAATATTTATAAAAGACGATTAAATTTAGAAGGAGAGCCCATTGAAGACCCTAAAAAAGAGGACATCATGACAACAACTAAAAAAACAACAGTACTAGCAAATTAATCATATTAACCCACAAGCAAATTCAAATATTAATGACAAATTTATTATCAGGCAGCAAATAAAACTGTGGAAGTATTGTGTGGAAGCTGCTATGGTGCAGCACTAAATGAATCTCAATGTTGTAACACTTGTGAAGATGTTAAAGAAGCCTACAGGATTAGAAAATGGAAAATAGGTGATTTGAATAGTATTGAGCAATGTAAAAATGAACGAGTCGCTGACAAACTAAGGGATGTTTTCAAAGAAGGATGTCAAATTTATGGTCATATGGAAGTTAACAGGGTAAGATAGAAGTAGAGATATGAGGTAATAGAAAACCAAGAAGTTTTATAAATTTATTATTTATTGACGTTTTGCAACTATGTGCATTCCTTGTTGTTTTCATTATTTTAAGACAAGATGTCTGAAGATGGAATGTACATACATATTTCCATTCCATTGACATTAAATCAAAAATTCTTTAAAAAACTTTTTGGTTTTTTGTTATTATTGGTTTCCTTATTCATTATCACATTATTTATCACCTGCTAAATAATGTCATCAAATGAAATACGTCAATTATAGGAACAAATATTATAACTATTGCTTAACCGTACTGTTTCCTTTACCCAGGTAGGAGGAAGTTTCCACATAGCCCCAGGACAGAGTTTTGCTATAAACCATGTTCATGTTCATGATGTACAACCATTCTCATCATCATCTTTCAATACATCACACCATATACGTCATCTGTCGTTTGGAACAAAAATAGACAGTGGAAAAACAAATCCTTTGGACGGCACCAAAGTTATAGCCACAGAAGGTAAGTGAAATATGTAATTAATAACTAATAACTTCTTATTTATTTATGATAAAATGTACATATTTATATAATATCTGTGAGAACTACGAAATATTTAGTCTTGTGTTGTAATGTTTTAACATCGAATGCCGGTTCCAATAGCCATGAATGTACCAAATGTGCCACCACCTTGGAGCATCACTTTTCCTACATTATTTACAAGTTCACGTCCTCTCATTCCATACCTAGAAGAATAAAAGAACTGTAAGCTAACTTTAAGGATTACACTGAAACAGTATTTTTGTTATTCAAAGTTTTTATGTTGCCCAGTATTATAAACCATTAACAGTGCGCACGCTTTTGTATCGTCTGTGTTAATTATCAGTTATTTCATGCAAATTAGTAAAATTCAAAGTAAGAAAGTGTAGGTTAGTATAACCTCAAAATAATTATTACCTCAATGCGGAAAATCCTCCGAATAGAGCCCCACTGGCCATACCGACACAAAAACCTATCGTGAAACCCATTTTCATTTTATCAAAGCAACTAGGGCCCTGCTGGTACATTCCGGAGGACGGGACAGGCATTTTGAACGTTTCAAAATTTTATAACAATATGACTTAATAATAATTACGAGTTAATAATGTTAACTGATTATTGTTAATGATGCGTCTGTTTTTTTATACTAACTAATTTAAGTCGTAAAATAACAAGTTGGATTGAATTTTTTTTATATATCACGTCACAAATTTATCTGTCTTTCTTCTCTAATGTATCGCCATGTTTGTTTTTGTCTTATGTCTTGTGTACTGGACATGTATTATTTTAGACGCATATTTTTTTTTTTTTTGTATGTTTCTTTATTTTAAAATTAGCATAATTGGTCTCTTTTTATTCAATTATTTATCATTTATTTTATTACAAAAATATTCTAATAGCTGTCGAAATGTTTAAGAATGTAGTAAATGTCGTGTAAAGACATATTGAAATAAGTGAGAAATATCGACAGCGGCTCAATGGTCTAGGGGTATGATTCTCGCTTTGGGTGCGAGAGGTCCCGGGTTCAAATCCCGGTTGAGCCCTATATTTTTTTCTTATAAAATTTGATATTTATTTTTATTATCTACATACATTTATAATGCTGATATTGCCGATTAATTAAACAACACATAGTGTTATTTGTATTTTCTTATATAAGTAATTTGTGCAGAAATGGATGACGCTTATTTGGCATTATTTATTTATTCATCAGCAAGCCGTAATAATAATCAATAATAAAGATATAATTTTAAGCTCTATTAGTAATTAAAGTTGAATTAAATTATAAATTTTACATTTTAATATACATAGTAGTTGTTTCTTAAATAAAGAGAACTAAAAGAAAAACATTCAATCATTAAATATAAAGTTTGTCATAGATTTATTCATGATAAATTCTACTCAATCTTCAGTCAGCAACTTGTCTTAATGCAAAATGCCACTCACAACTATTTATTTTTATTTTTAGACGCAACAATGTTTCAATATTACATAAAGATAGTTCCCACCTTATATGTTAAAAAAGATGGTTCCACATTGCACACGAATCAATTTTCTGTCACAAGACATCAGAAAATAGTTTCAGTCATGAGCGGAGAATCAGGGATGCCCGGTGCATTTTTCAGCTACGAACTCTCACCACTCATGGTTAAATACACCGAGAAAGAACGGTGAGATAATTGAATTATTTATTACCATCATAAAGTCAATTATATATTTTAATTACAATAATTTTTGTTCAATAATTGTTTTAGTTCTTTCGGACATTTTGCGACAAGTGTCTGTGCAATAATCGGCGGAGTTTTCACAGTTGCTGGCTTGATCGATTCTATACTGTATCATAGTGTACGAGCCATTCAAAAGAAAATTGAATTGGGAAAGTTTAGTTAAATTAATGCGAATCCGAATAGTAGATAAATGTAAATACTTTTATACATATATGGATGGATATAGTTGATATAAAGAATTTAAGATACAGAGAATGTAGTCTTTCAGACAATTTAGATGAATTTCAGATAATTGGCAACATTATTTGATAATTTAATAATTGTAGAGAAATTACAACATTATTAAGCAATTTCAAATATCGATTTGAGATACTATGAATTATAATGTTTGATAAAATTGAAGAAAATTTCAACTTGCTATGGTTAACAGTATGTTTGATGCCTGATTGTTTGCAGTTTCAGAATTTGTTAAGTCCACTTAATTACTATTCAAATTCATTTGTGTTATCTGGAATTTCTAATATATAACTGTTAATATAAATTTAAATTTGTTATAATATATGGATATAACATTATACATAGTATTGTATTTACGTTTTATAACACTAAAGTAGGAGTATGTAAATAACTAATGTCAATTGTTGTTAACTGTTTATTATAAAAATTCATATAACTAAATTATTGGCTTGATTTAATTATTTAAGTCAAATTTATAAAAACAACTTGATACGCAGCGTTTAATGAACGGATAAACGGATTAGTGTTGCCAGACGCCAACAAATGTGGGGTAAGCGTAGGACATTTTATACTTTTATTTGCATCTGGCAATATTTTTCTTACTCCGGTCGGCTCGTCATTTCCTCTGTCATTCGAGCTCTTCGTGTTCTTCAAGTCACTTCAGCTCAACAATTAGCATGTGAGTATTATTTGTTTGTTATCTAATTTTATCCTTGTTCTTTCAAATCATCGGTAGTTTAAATGATAAGTGATGCATTTTAAAGAAGTGTTTTAGTCTAATGTTTATCATAGATGTGCTGCAAAATCAAACAATGATGAGAATTATCTACAAACATTCGCGGTTTCCACCGGACAGTGTTTGTACACTGTGTGATGGCTTGAATGTCGTCTGAAATTGATTTTGCAATTAGTTTCTTTGCTAATATTATTTTAAGTAAGTTAGTGTTTGACCTAACCTAATATGTGCACCATTTGATTTTTTAGAATGGCGGACGCAGCTCCAGCCGGTCGTGGTGGATTCCGTGGCGGTTTCGGTGGACGTGGTGGCGGTGGCGGTGGTGACCGTGGGGGCCGTGGTGGACCACGTGGTCGGGGCCGTGGACGCGGTCGCGGCCGTGGTCGTGGCAAGGACGATTCATCCAAAGAATGGATTCCAGTCACAAAGCTAGGACGTTTAGTACGCGAAGGAAAAATCCGCACTCTCGAAGAAATCTACTTGTTCTCTCTCCCCATTAAAGAGTTCGAAATCATCGATTTCTTCATTGGATCTTCATTGAAGGATGAAGTCCTCAAGATCATGCCTGTACAGAAGCAGACTAGAGCTGGTCAAAGAACTAGATTCAAGGCTTTTGTTGCCATTGGTGACAGCAATGGGCACATTGGTCTTGGCGTCAAGTGCAGTAAAGAAGTAGCCACTGCCATTCGTGGGGCTATCATCTTGGCTAAATTGAGTGTTGTACCTGTCAGACGTGGTTACTGGGGTAACAAGATTGGTAAACCCCACACAGTACCTTGCAAGGTAAATATTACACCTCCGTACATGTATTGCATTACAGTATGATGAAAACATAATTTCTAATTCATTCGTGGTTTCCACTGAAGTTTTTGTGATGGTTGGAACGTCTGACTAAATCATAACAAACCATACAACTTTATACTGTATGACATAAATTAATAATTGCTTCAATTTTTAGGTTACTGGTAAATGTGGTTCAGTTGCTGTACGTTTAATCCCAGCACCCAGAGGTACTGGCATTGTATCAGCTCCTGTACCCAAGAAGCTTCTGCAGATGGCTGGTATTGAAGATTGCTATACCAGCGCTAGAGGTTCCACTGGAACTTTAGGTACATATACACCAATATATTTGTTACAATTTAAATTTAATGATGAAAACCTATTTTATACATTCGCGGTTTCCACCGGATGTCTTTTATGCCAGATGACGGTTGAGTGTTGTCTGAATTTTATATATATGTATATATAGATAAAACATTTACTTTTTATCATACTAAAGCCCAATATCTTTTTTAGGTAATTTTGCAAAGGCTACTTATGCAGCCATTGCTAAGACTTACTCCTACTTGACACCTGATTTATGGAAGGAAATGCCATTGACAAAGACTCCATATCAAGAATTTGCTGACTTCTTAGCGAAGACTGTTCACAAGCCAGGAATGAGAACCATTGACATGAATTAATTTGATTGCTGGTACATCTATTCAAAATAAAACTTTGAAAAAAATACTTCTGGATTTTATTATGAGCTAATTATTATTTCAGGTTCAGTTTTTTTATTCTAATTTCATGTTAGATAAATAACTGTTTTCACTTTTCAAGAGCTCTTAGTTAAAATTGTTTAAATATATATTAAATATATAAAAATACAACCTTTTTCTTAGTGTGCAAAATTCATAAATTATGTGTAGCATTTGGCATTTTAAATTGTTTTTAATACATTGTTGATGTATATGTATAATCTGTTTGTAATTTTATCTGTTCTATAACAAAGTTCTTAGGGAATCCAACTGGAGCAAAAATATTGTAGAAAAATGTTGTATATCCTCATCAACCCATTTCAGATACTGAAATCAATGAAACACTAGACAATGAGATTCCAAAGATTAATCGAGGACATTGTGCTAGATTTTTTCTGAATTAGCACTTTATGGTTTCGATTTGCAGATATTAGAATATCATGTTATTTTTCAGTATTATAATTCATTTAAATTTATTATTGTTATTTATTTGTGATACTACTAATATTTACGACTACTAACTAATATTCTCAAAATAGTTGTAGTATTTTAAACAATTGTTTAAATTATATTAACGTATTCATAGAAATATTTATTTATGATATATGAAACATTTTAGATATATGTATAAACCAATATATTCTAATTTTGTCTAAGTGTAACATATTTAAGGCTATTTTGTATTTGCATGATCGACTCGATTATAAATAGTTTGTTTTTAAGAATATAACATGAGATATGCGAAAAAATAATCCGTTAACGGTTTTTAACGAGATCATTTTAACGGATAATGTTTTGCATAAGTGATAGCGCTTTGAAGTCCTTAGCCAATCGGAGCCTAGACAAGTGGACAAGATGTCCTACATGACTGGCGTAATGGATGTAATGATGTAATCGTGTCATTGCATTTTTGTCAATGCATCGGTAAAATAAATAAAATTTTTGATGCCTAAAATATTATATGTATCTGGTGAAATATTGATACTGTGAAAAATATGCAGCATGATGACAAGGACACGGACAAGGAAAAGACGTGCGAAGTGGTGAGTAATATATAACTCTTTAGTGCACATTTTTCTGAATTATTTAGTAATGAAACAAACATTTGTGGAGCTGTTATCGATAACATTCAACTCGTATTTATATATTTATTGCGGTTGATTATTTGTTTAATGACGAAGCGTATATATAGCGAATGAAAATCGATTTGAGTTCACGCAGACGTACATTTTATTGCAATTTGCAAACAGTCACACATTCTTTCTTCGCCACAATATTGAGCATTTGTAGGATCATATCATTTTGCTGTTTAGACGTAAATCCAGAGTTATTCTTGGAGTCCTATAGTCTATAGTACTTGACTATAATACACACTTTTGATTCGGGACCTATAATTTAGTTACTTTGTTGTTTTCTGACGGCTTTCTTCTTTCTTGTAATATTGTATAGTATTATCTACTGTTTATTACATTATTAATATCTGATCATATCTAAAAAAGCAAACACCGTAGTGAGAAGTACGTGGTGCCTCGGCGGAAAATTATTCCACAATAACTTCAGCAGAAGAATAAAGATGTTTGACAGTTTGGCAGTCGAAGTGTTCGCTTACCCTGCAGAGATTTGGGGTTGGAGAGAGATCGCAGAGCTCGAAAGAGTACAGAAGAGATACTTGAAATAGATACTAGGTCTGGAGTCCTGTACTCCAGATTATGTACTCTATGAGGAACTAAAACGAGACAAATTACATCTGAGATTAGCTAAGAGAGCAATTAATTATGAAGAGAAGCAGTTAAAGACAGGAGAGAATGCCATAGCGAAGGAGTGTATTAGCGAAAGAAGAAGAGATAAAGGGGATAAAGAGAGGTTGGATGAAAGGAGAACATATAAATAATAACAAACACTGGCTGAACCCTGAAGAACAAAGATGTGAGCTGTGCGGGAAGGAGGAGGACACGGTTGAGCATTGGAAAGAAAGATGCGCGATGTTAGAGAGAACAAGCATTTCTATAGAAGACGTTCACTGTGGCAAGAATGACAAGAAAGTCTAGGCTGGTTGAAAACAATCAAATGCATGAAGAAAACAAAGAAAAAAGAGTTATTTGGACTACCAGTCTAAAACGCTAAAGTTATTAGATCCCTCTGATTAGGCTTTTCTTTTTATTTTATTGTATATAAAGTAGGTTTAAGGTATTACTGTGGATCAAGATAATGATGTATTTGTAGGCCATTAGGGTGAAATAAATAAATAATAAAAAAAAAAGATCAAATCATGTCAGAACAAATTTTTACATTTTTGACATTTTCGACATTTTATTGGCCGATGTTCGTCTGCATATTGTTGCATTTTATTGTCGGTTCAAGAAGTAGATAGACGGAGTGAATACATTAAATTCTAACATTGTCTAGTGACGGAGTTATTTCCTCTTCTACGATCTACAATCAGATCGACAGATTGATTTTTTACATTGTTCTGATAACTGCCCACGGTAATCTTGCTTGCTTTTTGTTGATGACCTAAGGAAGGAGCCTGCTCTATAGGCTTTGGCGGGAACAAATTTATATTTTCAATAGTATAGATTTTAGTTAAACCTAAAAAATTCAGAAAAAGTGAGAAATTCACCAATTTTTCGCAACTGAAATGCGCAAATAGATTTTTAAGCCACTAAAGCAGGAAAAAACTATTTTATAGATCGCAACTGAAATAAATCATGTTTTTCGATAAAAAAATTCGCTTGATTGTTTAAAACGTAGGTCAATTATAACTTTTCTTAAGGTTTTTTAGGCTCAACTAGGAGAAACTTTAATCCTGAATACAATCAATTTTGTCTCGTTTCGATAGGACGTTCACTTTTTTCCCATCTTTCCCGCCAATTAAGTAAAATCGAAAAAATGAAAAACCGAACCGAATGAAAATCGACGTCCAAGTTTTCGCCTGACGACGCTTGCTCACGTTTTCTTCTTTAACTCCGAAAATAATTGGAATTTGTTTCTGGAATTTTAGGGATATATTCTTGGCTAGTTTTGGAATACATTTTTGTGAAAAGATCGATTTTTAAACCACTAAAGCAGGAAAAAACTATTTTATAGATCAGGACTCTGACTTGTCGATTGACACTCCCCGAGGGCTTTTGCTGGTATTTTTTGTTTAAATTCAATTGATTTAGTTGTTTGTCGTTTGATTTAAAATTATAGTATTCAGTATAATTAGTATTTTGATAATTAGCAATATGTAAAGTTAGGATATTTCTAAAACAACAGAAACGGTTTGCTCCGAACATTTTATTTGTATTTTATTATTTGTAATTAGGAAAAATTGTTGTATGCACCTATATAATAATTTCAATATCTTGTAGGAACGCTTTTCATGTAATTTAGCAGTGTGCGAATTTTGGACGTTTTCTCACATTTCTTTGAATGCCTTGAAAATTTTTCTCCGACCTCTGTGTTTTATATACTTCAATAAAAACTAGATAAATTTTACTAAAACCTGGTAGAACCTATTATTTAAGCTAGTATATTAAAATTTTGAATAATTTGTAGTTGAAATGCGGACTTTAGTGTCTTTGAACACTTGTGATAAATGATCTTAGGACATTTTTTAATTTTCTTTAATAACTTTAATTTCCATACTGGGCATTATATTTGCTTGCATTAGTAAAAACTAGATAAAATTTACTAAAGTTTAGTCAAAAATGATTGATACACTTGAAAATAGAAATTTTGAATAATTCGTAGTTGAAATGCAGACAGTGCTTAGAACACTGGCAAATTTTCCATTGGTACATTTGCGATTTGGTACAGTTTTTCACTTTTCTTCAAATAATTTATAATAATCATCTCGGGCATAATAAAATGTTTACATTAATGAAACTAGATAAAATTAACTAATGTAGTAAAACTGTGTTGTATACACTTGATGTTGAAATTTTGAATAATTCGTAGTTGAAATGCGGGCTTTAGTATTTTTATAGTTTGCAATACATGAGTTTTTGGTACTATTACTTAGTTTTTTCAAATATTAACTTTTCTTCGAATAACTTTTAATTTTCATACTGCACATATAATTTGCTTACATTAGTAAAAACTAGATAAAATTTACTAAAATATAGTATAAACTGTTTGATATTGTACAAACACTTTGATATTGAAATTTTGAATAATTCGTAGTTGAATGCGCACCTAATTAGTATTTCCATAACGGCAATATATTGATTTAGGACATTTTTTTAGTTTTTTTCCAAATAATTTATAATTTTCATTTCTGACATTATAATATGTTTAGATTAGTAAAAAAATAGATAAAATTTACTAAAATGTAGTAAAACTGTTGTGCACTTTGATATTGAAATTTTGAATAATTCGTAGTTGAAATGCGGACTTTCGTACTCTCAATTTGCCAACTTGCTCCGGCTAAGAGGCTAAGATGTGTGTAAATTTATACAATTTTTTTCTAAAATGACAAACACGTTTGGAAAAATTGACCGCAGTACTCACATTATGATGCTCTATTGCAATTCGTCATACTTAAAAATCACTCCTCTATTAAATATTTTTAGTTGATTCATTAAGTCAATTGTCAACTTGCCTTAAGGCAAAATGTCGCCCAAACCTTGTTAAATTAATATTTTATCAAATAGTGGCTAAAATTTTCAAATTTTCTACTCCACAACGTCATACGTTAAAATAACTTTGTCCCAAATACTTTCGTAAATGATTTATGATCTGTTTTGAATATCTGACATTTTAATTCGGACGTAATCTGCAAAGATTAAAAGATGATCGGGATTAAAATATTTCATTTGTTTTATCAGACATATTTTATTTCAAATACTTTATATAATCTGCCTTTGTTTGACGCAAGTCATTAACTTTTAACCATCACATCACATATTGTTGTGAAAGATTTTCAATTTATTTGTTTTTGAATATTAAAGGATGAAGTAAACAAATACAAAATTAATAATAGACAAATACTGAATGCTTTGCGAGAGTAATTCTTTGAACAAACGTCATACAAAATATATGTAAGACAAATTTTGCTCTTATCTTTGGAACTTTTGAAACATTTTGAAAGCGGTTCAGATGTTTTTGAGACAATTTCAGTGAAATACATATAAACCGACATACAAAACTTTTTCCAAATTCTTTCTCAAACGATTCAGAATGACTTGAAACTTTGAGAACATAATAAATTATCAAATAGTGTTTTTTGTAATGAGTAAACGTAAACCTTTTCTTCGGGATATTCAAAATGTAACTAGCGGTGTATGGCATCGTGTCTTAAGGCAAATTGCTGGAACTTCCCGTACCGTAACAAAATATTCGCGGAATATTAAATGTTTTCAAATATATTATTACGAATACTGTAACTTTCATTATTTTTGCTATCTTGCTATATCTGAGCAAATCAAATGTTGCCTAATTTACGCAAAATTGAAAAAGTGCTCCCGCATAGTCACAGTCTAAACGCATTCGCAAATAATTCTGTGCAATAATTTTCACTTATACTGTGCTTAGCTTGACGGCATTTTCACATTTTTTAATAGTTTTCGTTTTCACAAAATTGGAAAATTGCTCCAGTAACGTAAACAGTCTAAACGCACTTGGGTAAACATTTGTACCAGAGTGGCGCTTAGACTATGCTAAGTCTGGGTAATTATTTGAATTTTCAATCCAAAATTTCCAAAAGCAATCATTTTGTTGAAACAAGCAGAAAGTTCTTTGAATCATTTAAATCAGACGCTTAGTTCTCTCAAAAACAGCCATTTTTTTAACAGTTAGCTCTGTATCTCCGAAACCGCTGGGCCTACCTTTGCTAAAAATTAATAACCACTTTTCCGTCATTACGAACTGAATGTTTTTTGATCATACAAATCGGATGATCCGTTCTCTCAAAAACTCGATTTTCTGCACTCTTTGCTTCATATCTTCGAAACGGCTGGGCCTGCCTTTGCCAAAAACTTATCAGCACATCTCCCTATCAATAGGAATCGAATGTTTTTTAAACCATTCAAATCGGTTGATCCGTGCGCCCGAAAACGTGGACGAAAAAATGCGGACATACAAAACACACACACACATTTCATTTAGTTTCTGAGGTATGCCAGTAAAATGCTCAGAAACCTTCAAAACGTCGAGAAATGCAAACATTTTCATTTTCGATTTTCGGCCCATTACTATAACTGCCCTAAGGGAAGTTAATTAAGAATAGTAGATTATTACAATACAAAAAATTTATATTACTCACTATTAATATTTAAATTTTCTTTTTTACTTTGTATTATTTGAATAGCAATTAGAACTTAATAGTTTTATTATGAACTGTTGTTGTAATGTTACCAACCCAATGGTCGGTCTATCTTTATTCCTAAAAAATATACATAGTTTTTAAATTTAAATGAATACTAACAGATGACAAAAGCGAAATCTAATAAAAAATCTGTTTCTAGAATTGTTTTTCAAATTATATATCAATCAAACTTTTAATCTCAATTTAAATCGATATTATGAAGAGGCTTTTCTAGATGTCAACCCAATGGTTGACATATCTCTACCTGATGTGCTATTCTGTTGAAAGTTTCAAACGACGTAACATACTTCTTTTATAAATTTCTAATTAACAACAAAAACAAATATGATTATTAAAGTTTAATCTAAAATTACTTGGGTGTAATTAATTTTACTCAAAATATTTAATTTGTTAAAACAAAAAAAATTAATATAAAATTTGAATACATCTTTATACTTTGTGATGAATTTTGCTTTCATTGATGAAATTTTAATTCCAATTCATGAATTTAGGAAAATTGTAATATATTTTAAAATTATTATCTTATAATTAAATCTTGTTAGTAGACAATTACTGGTTTTACATATTTTTATGACACATAAATTTATTTAAATTCAAATACGTATATCTGATTATTTAATACATACATTACATTTTATAATTTCAAGTATAAGTTATTAAAAAAATTAAATTAACTTAAAATTCTAGTAGAAATTATTAAAAAATATTTTTATAATTCTAAATTAAATATAGTATAAATTATTAAAAAACTAAATTAATTTAAAATTATAGTATATTAATGAAAAAGTATTATATTTTTATGCATTTTAACAACTCATCAGAAGAAATATATTAACATATTATATTTGATGAATCTAATATGTTTATAATACATAATTATTATATATAGCATATAATTTAATTATTTAATTGTAATTGATGGTTGTGTTTCAGTAAGAAAATTTCAATTTTAGAATTTAGATGAGTTTGTTATAAATTTATAACAAAAGTTTCAAATATGTTCTAAATATGAATTTTAAAACGATCTTGTTCATATCAATCGATCAATAAATCAGTTGCTAAATCTATATCAAATCAAATTAAAGGGAATATTAATGGAGAGCTGGCCGAAATAATGTAATTTCAATTAATATTTATTTTAGGAATTAAAAACATATTGTTCCTTTGTTTATTATAGCTGCATTGAAGATTTTGGGATGTATTAATTCACTCCTGTAGTTACTAATAATGAATTTTTCCATACGTTCACAGGCCGCTTCAGTTCGAGCAAAATCTTTGAAAGCGTTGATATACCTTTAGCTTTACATGAAGACGATGAGCTAGCAAGCAAATTGAAATTATTTAAGCATAATTATCAAAAGAGACTTTCAAGTTTAACTTGGGATAAGAGCCCTTATAATCAAGCGATTGCTATCAAGACTTACATGATGTCTTTCTGAGAGTGGACGAAGACAACAATTTGGGCTCTCTAAATGGTGCAGGGTTTGGGATACGATGGTTTCGATATGTTTTGACTCCTTTTTATTCTTTATTTTTATTATTATTTTTTAGGAATTACATTTTATTTCATATCTGGTGGATGCCCTAATTGCAAACTTTGTCATAATGAAAGATTGTAAAACAATGATACATATTCTTACACAAGAAGTCGATGATCCTTTAATTCCAATTGATTGGAATGATGTTCTCGTCTGCAAGACTAGCAACTACTGGAGAATATCCAGAGGATAGAGCGACTGATAACATGGTGGTAAACTAGTAATACATATACCCATAGATGATAATTAAGCAAGCTTGATCTGTTTTTTGACCTTAAGGAGAGGACGGGGTACTTACGTTCTGTAGATGTATACAAGTCCCTTATTGGTCCCTATTGGTTAATATTAATTGAACATCAAATTATTACGAAAACATTTATGTTGCGTATCAGCTATAATGTTAGTGGAAAAACAAAGATAATAGTAAGTTCCTTTTTGGTTCTACAGATACAGCAGCAGGTGAGGTTGTCCGGATGGAGCAACGAGACAGTTTCAGATATTCAGATAAGGTATCACGAGACATCCAATTATGTTCTAGAACATTATTATGTAATAAGCACGTTGATGCAACATAAGTGTAAAGATAAAGATAATAATAATTACATTCCTGGTTCTGAAGGTACAGCTGGTGAACGCCCCTCGCCCCTGAGAACACTTCAGAGATCCCTGGGTCGCGTACCGATTAGGATTCACATAAGTATATTTTAATATTAATTGACTTATTGTGTAATAAATACGTTAATTTTACGTTAGTGTAAAAATAAAGATAATAATAATTATATTCTTGTTCTGACGTTCCAGCTAGTTAACCCTCAACAATCGTCACCCTCATGCCCGGGATCACTCCCAATGCATGGCATAGGGCTAAACAGGCATCTTGGTATGTTTTAATATTAAATATATTAAACGTTATTATGTAATAAATACGTTCATGTTACATAACGTGTGTAAAGTAAGTGTGAAGATAAAGATAATTATAATTTCCTTCTTGGTCTAGGACAGTGATCCCCAAATTTGTCTCACTCAGCGCCCCCTTTCCAGAAAAACTATTACTCAGCGCCCCCCTAATTTTTTTTCCATTTCAATAGCAATTAATAAGGTATATAAGAATTATTATTTCTGTAAAAGATAAATTGACGAATAAGAAACCAATTTTGATAGAGTACGCTATTTTAATAAATCATAAAACATTCGGAAAAAATTGAACCATCAGTGAATTTCAAGTCTTCTAGGCCCGCAAGTCACTGTATTGAATTCTTCAGATATATTACGGATATATTTGTAATGAAATGCAATTGCAAAACATTTGATGATTCATTTATTAAAATAATGGACGTTATCAAAATTAATCCTTTAATCTTTCAAAAGAAGGTTGTAAAATAACATCAAAGTTTGAAATTATTAAACTATTATTATTATTATCTTATTATTTCTAATATTGCTATTTTGTTATATTTATTATTATCTTTCACTTATTGTTTTTATAGTATTATTTACAGAAATTTTATTTATTAACTTCCCGAAGGAAAAGTTTGTTTTCATCAAACAATCCGAATCGCTAATTTTATATATTCTCGACGTTTCAAGCCATTCTGAATCGAATGAGACCAAATTTGGAAAAAGTATGGGTATGTGTGAGAACAGATTTTTTGCCGTAAATCGACGTTTTATCAAAAACGGCTGGACCGATTTCAAAAATTTAAAAACCATTCGATGTATCTCGATGAGGACTAGCGTTGCTCAGTTTTGCGCTACGATCGGCCGGGCCGTTTTCTTGTAATAAAGTGTTAATAAACAATTTTTTCGACGATTTTTTTTTATATTTTTTTGACGATAGATACCATAGTCTTGTAGATCATACTAAAATATTATGGCCCTACGACAACTCGTTTAACTTTAAAAATTCGTCAAAGTTTGCAAAAATTAGTATCGTTTTTTTGGCATTTGTCAAAATTAGACCTTTTATCGACGTTTTCTCAAAAACGCAGAAAGTTAAAAGCCATTTGATGTATCTCGATGAGGACTATCGTTTGTCAGTTTTGTGCGACGATCTCCCAAGCCGTTTCTTTGCAAAACGTGTTAAACGTTTCGTCCACATTTAAGCTCATACTACCGAATCGATTTTGAAAATTCAAAAACTGTTCGAAAGATATTAGTTGGGAAAGATACTGATTAGTTTTAGGTGAAAATCTACCGAGCCGTTTGCTTGTAATTAACTCTTGAAAAAAAAATTCAAGCCGATTTTTATAGATATATATAATGGTCTTATAGAACTTACTGTAATATTGCGGCCTTACGACAAGTAGTTTAATTTTAAAAATTCATCAAAGTTTGAGAAAATGAGTTGTTTTTTGACGTTTGTTAAAATTTAAATTAGACGATTTACTTAGTATAACGATAGTGTTCGTTCGTTTTCAAATATGCGTTATAAATCCACTCGGAACACTTTCAATCGCTCATAAATTAATTTATTTTTTATTGATTAAGTCGATTATTTACGCATATGGGGAAGTTCATATAACTTGCCTCAAGGCAAAATACCAATACCAACTAGTTTGTTTATTATAGCTGCATTGAAGATTTTGGGATGTATTTATTATATCTACAATTGGTCTAAAATAATGTATCATCTAGATTTCAAAATGTTATTGGATGGGTTGTGTTTATGATATGAGAGAAACAGTTGTTGTATTAATTGTCCTTGCTTTAATTTCAGCTCTTTTTTGTTAATTTTTCTGTTTTATTTCAATGAAAAACAGTATTAATTCTTCTGGCGCGCTTCGAAAAAAACGGGATTGTTGCATTTTACGTAGAAAAACCGAGTTTTGCGTTTATAAACTAAGTATAGTCTTTACGTTTTCGGCATGAGAGTTCACAAAGCTTTTTCCTTTCAAGTGTTGTTGGGCCGCTTTTCTTAGCAACATATACTGCATGAATCTAAAATAATATAATGAAACATTTAAAAAATACATGAAATGCGAGATAGATAAAGAAAAAAGCGGCGCCTTCAATTCTTCTTCAATTTTCTGCCAACTCCACTACTACTTGTATTTTTTATCAGAATCAACCTGTTATCATATGATTAAAAACGTAACATGGGTAAGAAAAGATCTTTTGACTAATAGTCGCAGTTGTAAATGACGTTATTTCAAAATTGATAAAATTTGAATTTGGAGGGGTCATTCGGGAAAATGTATAAAAGACCTAAGTACTTGCGAAATATATACATCACAAGTTTAGTAATTTATTAATTAGATCGTTTATCCAGTAATTTATATATTCAAAATGTACAAATTGTGTGTTATTTTCTCATTGACCATTGTTGGCCAGGTTTGGGGACATGGAATGTTGTTGGAGCCGATTGCCAGGACATCCCTTTGGCGGGAAGACGACTCAGTTTTGGCAAATTACGATGACAATGGATTATTCTGTGGAGGCAGACAGGTAGAATAATAATATATATATATATATATATATATATATATATATATATTATAAATAATTCATAATAAATTCTGCGTCTATATCATTATGGAACATATGCAATTTTTTTTAGTAGCCCTTATAATGCCTTAATCGTATGCTAATCTAGTGATTTTTACTCCGGAGTAGTTCATTATTATACAGTTGATTTTTTATCAAAAATTTCTATTATTTCTATTTCTACGATTTTTGTTATCTTGTTATGGACACGCGCTAAGTGCGATTTTCAATTTACATGAATTATCAAAAACAACAAGTGGCCTATTGATAACAAGAAGTTAATAACGGGAATTAAAATTTCAAAGTCTAAAATTCGATGTGATTTTGGTGATTAAGAATAACATGGAGATTTTGTTATCTTTAGAAGCGATATACACGCATTTATATATTAAGGTAGATCTGATTTATAGATACAGAAAAATTAAATCTTAATTAATTTCAAACAAAATTTTTTATTCAAGTTTTTTTTTTTTATATGTAATTATTTTTATGTTTTTGTTCCTTACATTTTACAGAAAACGCGTGCGATTTTTTTTTGCTTATTTTAAAAGTTTCTGAAGAATGAGACATTCCATATCTCAGAAACGTAGAACTAATTATAAATTAAAAATCAATTAATATATATATTTTGTTGATACAAGAAATTCAGTTCAAAAGTTTTTTTTTCTATTAACGTTTCTGAACTATGCATGTTCCATCTTCAGGACTTTTGCCAAGAAAACGATCTTCATTCAAAAATTAAAATTTATGACACAAATGCAGCGTTCAAACGTTCATACATAATAAATAGTTAAATAATTCATTGTTTTTTTTATTACCTCTGTTTTACTGCTACGTATTGTAAAATAAATTATTATATCATAACATTATTTATAAAAATAATGAATTAAAAATTATTATACAATATTAGTATATATATATATATATATATATATATATATATATATATATATGTAGCAGTAATTGTTACTGATAGGATACTAAATTATTCACTATACTAGTTATATATAAAAATATTAAAAATTATTCTGACAATATTATTACTATTAATTAAATATATTTTAAATTTAAAAAAAAATTCTGCCATTATTTAGATGCGCGTTATCGAATCGTATACATTTGCAATGAAAATTTTATTTTATCTTTGACTGTATAATAGACATACAAATATTGATTAATTTTTACTAATTATATAATATACTTACATTGCATTTACTTTATATATAATTTATGTCAACGTAATTGCTCATATGGCATACAATTTGATTATATATTATATGTTACAAACAATAATTAGTCAAAATAAGTTTAATATTGACTAAATTATATTATTTGTTTGTCAACAGGTACAATGGGAACTAAATGGTGGTAAATGTGGAATTTGTGGTGATGATTACGCTCTTCCCAGGCCGAGGCCTAGTGAATTGGGAGGCATGTACGATTTTGGAAAAGTTCCCAGGAAGTAAGTTCAGCAATCATAAGATAAGACTAAATATTTCGTTAAACAAACATTTATTTAATTATTTAATGATTATTTAACCTATGATGCCCCTTTATTGTTTACTCAATCTTTTATTAAATTTAGTTATCTATTCCCCAGGTATCTCCAAGGCGGACAAATGCCTGTAGGAGTAATGTTGACTGCCAATCATCTAGGATACTTCAAATTTGCTCTCTGTCCAGTAGATGTTTGGGGAGAAGAATCAGAGGAATGTTTTGCTGCATATCCTCTCAATCTTACTACTGGTGAGGATCGTCTGCCTGTACCCACAAGCGAGGTTGGCTGGTACAATGCCACTTTACAACTACCGGAAGATGTTACTTGCAGACATTGTGTGGTTCAATGGACATACATCACAGGTAAAGGAACTAAAAATAATAATAATTTGCTTATTGCATAATAAAATAGGATCAGTTCATAATGATTTCATCTGTTCTGTAGGTAATTCTTGGGGAATCTGTCCATCCGGAGAAGGAAAATTGGGTTGTGGACAAGAACAAGAAAATTTCAGAACATGTTCTGACATTGCTATTTTCAGTAAAGAGGCACATCAATGGTGGGAGGATATTGTACATGCTCATCAAGCCATTTATCCAAATCCTGAAATCAACGAAACACAAGACAATGAAATTCCAGAGGTAATTGAGGACATTGTTGCTAGATTTCTTTTAAAGTTGCGACACTAGGAGTTCATAACTAGAACTGTGAAGAATTTTTGCATTTTGAGCAGTAGAATGATTTTACTGATTGATTACTTAGTCTTTAATCTAATTTCATTGCTTGAATTAGCACTTTTTCCCTTGATTTGTAAATATTAGAATACCAAGATCTTTTTCAGTATTATAATTTATTTAAATTTATTACTATATTGTTTTCTGTTTGTGAGTGTATTAATAATAATTATTAGTTCTCAAATTAGTATTTAGTTTTTCAAATAATGTATTTGTAGAAATATATTTTATTTATGATATATGAAATATTTTATTGTTCAAGCTTAGATATAATATAAATTGAAATTATAGGAAACATAAACATCACTACATGTGAATATATATAATTAATCTAGAAGTTATGTGCAGCATTTACGTCACCATAAATTGTTTATTACTGCATTAAACCGTGATATCTAGAAAATTATGTAACAATTATAAAAGGAGTTTTTACATATTTTTCACTATAGTACTTTATGAAGACTGTAATAAATTCAGACAGTGAAATTAAAATAACACAATAAATAATTATGAATGAACCTACAATGTATTATGCATGAGCTCTAACAATAATATACTGCTACTATTATTCATTGAATGCCATAATATGTATCCATATTACTCATATTTTAAATTTAAACTTTTAATACAATATTTTTTTATATAACGTGTGCGTTAGTTTTTTTTTAAAAGAGCATTCAATTTGTAAGAAAAATAATCCGTTAAGGATTTTAACGGTTATTAACGGATAATTTTTTGAGCAGGTTGTAACCCCATAAAGTCCTTAGCCAATCAGAAATCACTTACAAGCGAGACGTAAATTGTGTCACGGCCTCATGGCGTTCATACGAGCCGGCTAAATAGAAAATGAATGTTTTACGTTTAAATGTGATGGCTTTTGTAATATGTATCAAGTGAAATTGTGCTTTCGGGCGATTTTGTGAAAATATCCAGGATGATGAGAAGGACACAATATATGGCGTCAATGTATTGCACAATTATTCCATATTCAACCGGCAACGCCGTTTGTAGGTTGTGCGCATGTTATCTTGATAAAAGGTTAGTGATATTTAATTTTTAGTATCCATTTTTATTAGTTACATTGTAATGAAACTATCTATATTCATGATTATTATTGTTAAAATTTTTGCGATGTATGTAAATAGTCGTTCTGACTTCACGTAGACGTACGTAATATGTTTGAATATAAACAACGTACTTGTTTTTAAGTATTTTATTTCGATAGAAAGTTTCTATCTCGCATTTATTTATACAAAAATGATAAGAAAACATATCACACAGCTTATACTCGTACATCAGAATGAAATTTGATTTGATCCAATAATAAGAAATCTCCACTGTAACTTAGACTAGATATGAATATGGATTTCAAATTATACTTACAATCTGTATTTGTGTAATGAGTATAATATTTTCATAAGTTTCTAAGTTGAGAATTTTAAATTATTTACAAAATGTATTGACCGACATCATCTGATATTCGGTCTCAAATTAATTGCCGAAAGGCATTGTTGATCTGCTAAAAATTAATGTACTATGTATTAATTTCTAATTATAAAATTAGTATCTCTTAGGAAATTGTTTTTTGTCTACTTCCTAACGGAGAAACCGTCTCCTGTAGGATCTAATATCCAAGGGTAATTATTTGGGCACTCCATGCAAGTGAACAGTCTCAAAGTTTCGCCCGGGAGTTCCCGAGTCGTCAGGGGGCACGCGTTTGGCAATGAACAGTAAGGTTGCCCTTTGACGTCGCATTTCTCCTTCCATTCTTGGAAGTCTCTCAGAGCAGTTAATTCTGTTGGATTCTGCATCCACTGTATAACTTGTAACATTGTTGTGAAATAGACTTCGTTTCTGCCTAACATTTCTTCGATGAATTTGATAAGTTCTTCTTTGAATTCCTTCTTAGATTTGAGCCACGATGCGTGGAAATGGAGCCCTAATGGGGCACGGTTGCTGTTGAAATGACGGTTGAAGTTGTGTCTGAGCAGACGAGCAAATTGTTCACCAGTTTGGATATTACTGCAAGAGTCTACCATGTGACAACCGGGGAGAGACTCGTCAAAAGTGGGATCATCTCTGAGAATAAAAACAGTTGATTTAGTTTTGAACTTATTATTACTGTATTACAATTGAAATGGTTCATACCTTCTATCTAATTCGTTCATAACCATTTCCCAAACTGGATGACTTCTAGATGGACAATTGTGTGCATTGCCGTTGCATTTGTGGGGCATTCTGAAGTATAGAGTGTAAGGCCAAATTGGCACACGCCCTAAAGATGCTGTGATAGAGGCATCGTACACAAAGAATTGGTCGCTCATCATTTCAAACTGTTTGTTACCTCCCACTCTCAAGTAAGGTGCCCTCATACCTATAATTTATAATATAAATCATATTTTTTTTTTATTTTGACAAGTATGTTAGTTTTTTTTTTGCTATGACTATAACTTTAAAATTTAAAATTTTTGTTTATCATACCAATAATGGAACCATCAGTAATGTTAGCAAATCGTTCAACGATCAACCTGGCACCAGCCATTTCGGCTAACCAGTCATCATATGAACCTCCTGTCCAATATTGTGGGTCATCTTTGTGGGTCAATGAAAACACTGAAAAGAAATATAGAAATTTAATTACAAAATCGTAGTTTGCAAGTAGTTTTGCTATATATATGTTTTGAATTTTACCTGAGATTTCATGTCCTTTCCTGTGCAAATCTTGTACAGCTGAGTAATTTGTGTATTTGTGGGAAACGAAGAAAGTACCTCTGATTTGGCAACCATTTGGATTTTGTCTTTGTCCATTGAAGATTTCCTCATACAGATCAATGTTGTCTACATTGACTGCTCCGTTGAATGTAATTGTCACCATTTGTGGAACCTATGAAAGAAGTAGTTGTTTACTGACAAATTTTATTAATAGTTGGAATTCAATATTGGATGTAGGTTTACTTGGTTTGCTTCGATGTTGCCAGGAATTCTAGTACCATCAGCTGAACAGAAACAGTCTGGCAAAACGCATTGGGTTGGATCACAATCTGGTGCTCTGTTGGGATCTGAGTCAACGGCTAAAATAGACAGAAAAATTAATATACATGATATTTATTTATTGCTTCATTTAAACTTACTGCAAGCATTTTCGTCAGATTCATCTTTGCAATCGGGTTTGCCATTACAGAACAGTTCTTTGTCAACACATTCCCCGTTTCCACAGGACAGTTTGCCTTCTGGACAAACTGGTTCGTCAGTCTTGAATATGGGCAGAACCTTCCTAGGTTCTGTAATGGTAATAGTATTATAAATTGAATGGATTGTATTTCATTTGTTATAAAAGCTGATGGTAATGAAACTGTTTCTTCTTAATAAAACCGAAGGACATTTTTTTATTTGTTACATAAAATGTGCTATGCTGATAGGGTTGCGATTAGGATTTGACATTTTGTTAATTTAATAATGGTATGATTACGACATATTAAATACAATGCAAAAGTTCCATGCATTCAAGAATAGTGGAGATGTATGATAATTATGAAATAAGGTTGGAAGAGAATAGTTCGACTTGGTTTGTTCGTGGTTCGTGTCGTTGACTTGGTTCGTACGTCGTGTGTCGTGTGTCTTATGATGTTGGTGTTTATGTTTAGTTTGAAAGTGATCACTTACTCTCCAGTTTGTCGCAGTTGCTGACTTTGCCCTTCCAGTCGCATGTCTGCTTGTCCACGTCGAAGGCCAGTCCGGAGGGGCAAGTGATCTGCTTCAGTCCTGACTTGGTACATCTTGGGTTGACGATGATTAAAATCATTTTTCGTTCGTTGTGTATCATTGAAGTCGTCGATAAAGGTACAAATGTAGAAGAAGAAACGACCAAGAGATAGAACAGAGCGAGAATAGAAGAGAGACAAATACGAATTTGTTAGTCACCAACATATAATTATATTTATATATGAAACACATTTGAAACAAAGCAGATTTTTAATTTATGATTAAAATTGCCTTTGGTACATTTTCAGCATTATTCTTAGAATTGAAATAGTATATTTTACATACAAAGTTTGTCCTAGAACTCAATGTCAAGCTGAAAAGGGGTGATGACAGTATTGATTGTAACTCATGAATCATGAAAAAAATTACAAAAAAATATTATGCTGTTCGAAAGTTGAGTTTTTACGTGATCACGTGACTATTTTTCGGTTATTTTGGTTGATTTTCATCATTTTTGTTTATTCACACTTTGGATCCGTATTTTTTTAGAAGCACAGGCATAATAATTTCAAAATTGCACCAAGTTTTCTATTAAACTATGATTGTTACAATCAATCCTTTCGCCCTGTTTTGACTTGACTTTGAGTTCTAGGATACCCTGTTTAAGCTACATTGCTCTTTATTGAAGAAAATGTACTCACGATAAAAAAAAACTAAATTTTATTTCAATAATGTGTTTTTTCTCCTGCTTTGTTTCAACTGCGATTAATAAGAATAAATACAATATAAATTCACAACGATGCACATTTAGAAAGAAAGTAAACATATAAACTTTAGAGGCACAATTTGTCCAGTAGAAGAAGAAATCAGTCAATGATAATAATATAATTGGAATGATTGTTTGTTATTGTTAAATTTCCGTTGGCCAATTTTCATCTTACTTTCCAATTGATCACAGTTTTTGACATTCGACTTCCAGTCGCAAGTCTGTCTGATCACGTCGAAGGCCAGGCCGCCCGGGCATTTGACTTGGGCCAACCTGGTGACCCCGTTCTCGGCGCCGCTGTCGCACCTTATATAATAAATACTTCTTTATAAAATAACTGATCGTTTTCTTTATTATCTTTAATAACAGCAATAAGAACTTTTAATAGTCCAATAAGATGGCTATGTGTGTGTGTGTGTGGCCTCTTAATAACATGGCTATTGCGCTTTTTGACGAAATTATTCAAATAACTCCAATACAGATGATTTTTTATTGTATACAGTATAATTAACTTCCCGTAGGGTAATTATAGTAATGGGCCGAAAATCGAAAATGAAAATTTTTGCATTTCTCGACGTTTTGAAGGTTTCTGAACATTTTGGCATACTTCAGAAAAAATAAATGTGTGTGTGTGTTTTGTATGTCCGCATTTTTTCGTCCACGTTTTCGGGCGCACGGATCAACCGATTTGAATGGTGTAAAAAACATTCAATCCCTATTAATAGGGAGATGTGCTGATTAGTTTTTGGCAAAAGTAGGTCCAGCCGTTACGGAGATATGGAGCAAAGAGTGCAGAAAATAGAATTCGAGTTTTTGAGAGAACATCCGATTTGTATGATTCAAAAAACATTCAGTTTCGTAATGACTGGGAAAAGTGGTTATTAGTCTTTGGCTAAATGTTAAAAAAATGGCAGTTTTTGAGAGAACTAAGCGTACGATTTAAATGATTCAAAGAACTTTCTGCTTGTTTCAACAAAATAAATGCTTTCGCAAAAAAAAAATTGTTTCTATTTTTTTCGATAAATATTTTTTGTAATTTTGGATTAAAAATTCAAAAATCACCCAGGCTAAGCACAGCCTAAGCGCCACTCTGGTACAAATGTTTACCCAAGTGCGTTTAGACTGTCTATGTACTGGAGCACTTTTCCAGTTTTGAGAAAACTATTGAAAAATGTGAAAATGCCGCCAAGCTAAGCACAGTATGAGTGAAAATGTCGCACAAAATTGTTGCAAATGCGTTTAGACTGTGACTGCGCGGGAGCACTTTTTCAATTTTGTGTAAATTAGGCAACTATTTTTTTGAAGTTGAATTCGAAACGAAATGAGGATTGCTAATGTTCTGGAGATAAATTGTTTTATGATTTACATTTGATTTGCTCAGATATAACAAGATAGCAAAAATATTGAAAGTTACAGTATTTGTAATAATATATTTGAAAACGTTTAAAATTTCTCGAAATTTCGTTACGGTACGGGAAGTTCCAGCAATTTGCCTTAAGGCACGATGCCATACACCACTAGTTTTCTTTTGCTATCAATATTTTCTAGTAAAAAACCGTTGTCACTACGT